CGTGAAAGAGATTTGGACCTCATCTGGTAATATTCACAAAGACAGCACTGGCACACGGGAGCCAACTTTCAATGTGGAGACAGCACATACTGTTTTTTTGGGTTTTATTTTAGATATTCGTTTTTCCCTATATGGGTTCTGGCCCTTTGTGGAGAAAACAAGAATAGACCCACTGCCTGCCCAAAAGCATGTCGTAATAGTTGACTATTTGGCCGTTACCTTCAGAATCGGAGTACATCTGCCTGAGAGGTAAGGAACCAACAGTCTGCATGCAGATGAGTCAGACCTGTGAAACAGATGTGCACACACCACTCAATTTCTCGAACAGGACTAGAGTCCAGAAGTGGAGGAACAGCCAGAACTTTCCCCTGGAGTTTACACCCTGAGAACGTGAAAAAGAATATATACTTTTCATAGACTAGACCTATCCATAATGTTACATTGCTTTCTGTCTTCGAGAAAAGCCTGTAGGCAAGCACCGTCTTTACTTATTCTTCCAGTCTGTTTCCCCATCGAGCTAAGACCTATATTCATCCCCATATTTTATTATGCTTATTGTTTATTCTTGTTTGCCATGCGCCCCTCGTCCCCCTCTCATACTCACCATTTCACAACCCAATCTGAGCGAGGTTTCAAATCCGATCGATCGCCTTTATCACGTCTCTTATGGCCGGGACACGATGGCAAAACAGGTGTGTCAATAAAAACCGCTTAAACTGTTTCCTGTCGCTAACTATGTCTTTACCTTGCCATCCTATCATATCTTCCCCTGGTCTTTCTCTCACTCGGTAATCGTGTGTTTCTCCCCAGCTCGCCAGCCATCTCTCGTCTCCTATCACTTTCGTTTGTCTTTCCTTTTGTCCGTTATCCTGTCTTTATTCACTCGGTCAATCGGCAAGGGTTGAGAAACACGTACTCAACGAAGAGCTCGGCATTGTTGTAATCATCCTTATAGGAACTGCTCACATAGAAACACGCAATTACTCACCCCTACTCATCGCTCATAGCAGTTCTCACGCGCAAATATTCATGAGACAAGGTCCCCCTATGTTTAATTAGACTGCATTCAAAGGCTCTTTACCTGTGTTTTTCTTTTGTTCTATGGTCGCTATATACAGCAGTGTCTTTTGTTTCATCCCCACGTTTGCTTTGCACGTCTCTTTTTGACCAGGTCCGTTTTGTTGTGTGTTGTTTTGTTCCGGTGTTAGATCGCTGCTGACAGTGTTGTCATTTTGTTTACCTAGTCCCCAGTAAACATTGCTTTGTTTTTTTCCCAAGCGTTTGATACATTGTCATGCAAACAGATGCCTTAGTTGTGTGTCCACACTGTTTTCAGCCTGATCTCTGAATAGTTACCATGTTACCAGTTGTTTCTTTGTGTACGCCTGGTGATCGGAATTCTAAGAAGCGACAGTATTATGGCCAGCAGGCTCATACCTGCCGGAGAATTCTGAAGAAATTATCGTTTAGTTCCAGAACTTTTTCAGTTCTTTCTTATTGGGTCGAGATGTGTGATATGTGTATGTATATGCGGGCTGTTTGATGTTCTGTCTCCTATAGTGATATGTGTATGTATGTGTGGGTTGTTTGAGAGGCTCTTTCCTATAATATGTGTATGTATGTGCGGGCTGTTTGATGTTCTGTCTCCTATAGTGATATGTGTATGTATGTGCGGGTTGTTTGATGTTCTGACTCCTATAGTGATATGTGTATGTATGTGTGGGTTGTTTGATGTTCTGTCTCCTATAGTGATATGTGTATGTATTTGCGGGTTGTTTGATGTTCTGTCTCCTATAGTGATATGTGTATGTATGTGTGGGTTGTTTCAGAGGCTCTTTCCTATAATATGTGTATGTATGTGCAGGTTGTTTGATGTGATGTCTCCTATAGTGATATGTGTATGTATCTGTGGGTTGTTTGATGTTCTGTCTCCTATAGTGATATGTGTATGTATGTGCGGGTTGTTTGATGTTCTGTCTCCTATAGTGATATGTGTATGTATGTGTGGGTTGTTTGATGTTCTGTCTCCAATAGTGATATGTGTATGTATGTGTGGGTTGTTTGATGTTCCGTCTCCTATAGTGATATGTGTATGTATGTGCGGGTTGTTTGATGTTCTGTCTCCTATAGTGATATGTGTATGTATGTGCGGGTTGTTTGATGTTCTGTCTCCTATAGTGATATGTGTATGTATGTGTGGGTTGTTTGATGTTCTGTCTCCTATAGTGATATGTGTATGTATGTGCGGGTTGTTTGATGTTCTGTCTCCTATAGTGATATGTGTATGTATGTGTGGGTTGTTTGATGTTCTGTCTCCTATAGTGATATGTGTATGTATGTGCGGGTTGTTTGATGTTCTGTCTCCTATAGTGATATGTGTATGTATGTGCGGGTTGTTTGATGTTCTGTCTCCTATAGTGATATGTGTGTGTATGTGCGGGTTGTTTGATGTTCTGTCTCCTATAGTGATATGTGTGTGTATGTGCGGGTTGTTTGATGTTCTGTCTCCTATAGTGATATGTGTGTGTATGTGCGGGTTGTTTTATATGCTGTCTCTTGTAGTAATATGTATGTATGTGCGGGTTGTTTTATATGCTGTCTCTTGTAGTAATATGTATGTATGTGCGGGTTGTTTTATATGCTGTCTCTTGTAGTAATATGTATGTATGTGCGGGTTGTTTTATATGCTGTCTCTTGTAGTAATATGTATGTATGTGCGGGTTGTTTTATATGCTGTCTCTTGTAGTAATATGTATGTATGTGCGGGTTGTTTTATATGCTGTCTCTTGTAGTAATATGTATGTATGTGCGGGTTGTTTTATATGCTGTCTCTTGTAGTAATATGTATGTATGTGCGGGTTGTTTTATATGCTGTCTCTTGTAGTAATATGTATGTATGTGCGGGTTGTTTTATATACTGTCTCTTGTAGTAATATGTATGTATGTGCGGGTTGTTTTATATGCTGTCTCCTGTAGTAATATGTATGTATGTGCGGGCTTATTTATGAGCTCTCTCTTATAGTGATATGTGTATGTTTCTTCTTTCTCCTCCTTCCTTCCCTAAAATAACAGTTTGCACGTTGCGTTGTAGCTAGGCTGCGATATGAGCGCCTTTCGGCCCAACGCAACCGTTTTCAGCAAACCTTTAGTCGCCTTGTATGACCTGCTCGTTAAGAACGGTGGATCTACGACCCCCCCCCCCCCCCCCTCCTTCCCCTCCCTCCAACCCCGATGCGGCGCCGGAACTCACATAGAGGTGTCAACATACGAACTGATACACGTAGTTGCAGATTATGGAGAGGCACGATCGCCCACGCCAGTCGGCAAGGCACTTGATGATGATAGATAGAGAATATATATTTAGGCGCCGTGTATACACACTGTGTAGTTCAAGTCCGATCTATGCTGTAACACTCATTTCTCCTCTGATCCTTGTTGTAAGATATGTTTCGGCGCTAGCCCATTTTGTAAGTGTTTCTTGTAGCACTTATCCATATTCTAACATTTTATAATTTCCTACTTTTTTAGTGTTAAGCATTTGCGTGTCAGCGCGTAAAAGTTCACTGAATTTTCCATCTCACATGCACATTAGAATTCTGCTCTTTCCATAGAAAACTTTCTCAAATACAAATTTGTTGGAGAATTATGAACGGCTCCTTATAATTCAGTGATTTTTCTGTTACACGTGGCCTGGAGAATCCTGGTTTGTCCAGTGGTAATGATATAAACTAGACCAATTGTATGTGGTATATTTAATAGATCCATTTTATACTGACATATTTTCTAAACATATTCTATACGTATGTACTTCCTAGATCCATTCTTTACAATTATTTCTGCTGGATGCATTCTGTACATGTGTACTTACTAGACTAGACCTGTTCTATACATGTATATTTACAAAACTCATTCTATTCGTGTATATTTACTAAACCCATTCAGTAAGTGTGTATTTACTAGACCCATTCTATATGTGTATTTTTTTTAGACTCATTCTTGTTGGTCAGATGTGACTAAATTATCTTATAGCAGTACTCATACTTCATGTTCTAATTGCTAACACCAAATTTTGGGCGGCGTAAACCAAACGACATCCCAATTATGCCAAAGGGCTTCGGGGCATAGGAGCGTACGGGGGTGGGGGAATAACCAGGCTTAACATAGGACGAGGAAGTATTAATAAGTACGAATTTTTTTCGTTATTTTAAAGCCCCACTCTGGTTGTTGTATGGAACCATAATATAACCTAACGATTGAACGATGTTTCCGGGACTTGTGCCCGGGCGATTCTCATGTGAATTGTGGCTCTTTATGTTACTGGATGTTTATCGCTGGTTGTGCTTTTCTGGTGGGGTTAAAATTCATCCATACGTTTCCTTCGCCTATCTGAGTTGAATGTTTGGTACGACGGAGCTGTAATTTAGTATGGAATATTTTTAACCTCTTGTGCCCGCTGCGTGTTCTTAACTGCACTAAAATGGCGGGTGAACGAATAAGTTCAGAATGGTGCTTTTGCGGGTGCTATACCGGTTTTCGAGCTAACAATAAGCCGAAATTCTGGCGTGGGACCGTTAATGTGTGTGCATGCTTCAAGATTTTTATGGGACTGAGAGTATTGTCACCAGTTTTCAAATGGAGCAGTGGGCGTTTTGTTTGATTTCCACTGGCACATGATCGAAGCACTGGAGATGACGACCCGTATGTGGTAATGCTGGAACCTCGTGTAACTACTATCTATACCCGGCTGTATCTACTTTGTTTATGGTCTCCGTGGCGAAGTGGTCAAGCCGTTTGCCCTTCGTTCTGAAAGTTGTGGTTTCGTTCAGTTGACGATGGCCGTTTTGTCAGGCAGCTGGCCGTTTTGTGGAGAGAGACGGGATATTGGGGATAATCCGGACATTGAAATCGATCATCTTGTTTAACTTTAACTTCAGTTAACCATTATCCACTTGTGGTATTCTGTTTTGATTTATATGTAATAATGATTGTTATTGTTCCAGGACGGTGGAAGAGAACCGCATCCTGGCCTGTGCCGTGTCCAGTGATGGTCAGCTGATCGCGCTCTGTGATGACAGGAAATGTCTGCATGTCTACAAGCTAGAGGATGGCCAGTGTCGTCTCCACTTCTCTAGGTAAGCGTGTGTTGTTGTTGTGGTTGTTGTTGCACTTTGTGATGACAGGAAATGTCTGCATGTCTACAAGCTAGAGGATGGCCAGTATGGGCTCCACTTCTCTAGGTAAGCATGTGTTGTTGTTGTGGTTGTTGTTGCACTTTGTCATGACAGGAAATATCTGCGTGTCTTCAAGCTAGAGGATGGCCAGTGTCGGCTCCACTTCTCTAGGTAAGCGTATGTTGTTGTTTTTACTATTGTGGTTGTTGTTGCACTTTGTGATAACAGGAAGCCAATGTCCAGAAGCTAGAGGTCGCCAAGTGTCGTCTCCGTTGTCTAGGTGAGCGTATCTGGTTGTTTTTGTTGTATTGACTGGTTTCGACTCTTTCAGTTGCAGACGGTTGCCAGTTTCCTCAAGTGTTTAAATGTTCTTAACTTAAGGAATTTAAAAAAAAAAAACCTTTAGGACAGAAGGCGTAGATATCACAGCCTAACTGTAAACGACAACACAATTTGCCAACAGCTCTTTTAAGGGCGAATACGGAGAAGATATTGCTGAATATTCTGTTTTCTGTCACCGTTAGTGGTCAGGATAACTTCAGTCTGATTAACAGAAATTTCTCTGGAATTTGGTGAAAGTCGTTTTTTTTTTTTTTTTTTTATATTTGAAGCCCTGCCCTTACTTCTGCCGGGGGCCGTGAATATAGCCGGGTCATAGATATGACCTAGCCATAGATATTACCTAACGGCTGAAAGGGGTTTCTGGGACCTCTCCATGAGTGATCCTCATCCGCACAGTGGCACTTTGTGTCACCGGGTGTTTATCGCTTGTGTGATGTCCTGTTGGGGGTACAGCTACCTGCCTACCTGGAACGTTGGGAATGTGGGAAGGAAAGAAGGGCGGGGTTAGGTACCACACGTTTACGAGAAGCCGGCTATTTATGGTTACTTATTTTAAATTATGTTAACATGTCGGTGTATGTGGCTTAGGCGTTTGCAAAAGCAGTCCGTAATGCCGAGGTTCCGAGTTCGATCCCATCTGCAGGCGATGTGGCAGTGGACCACCTTGCTTTGGTTTCGACAGTGTTATCGAGTTTAGTCAGCCGTGGGGCAAACTACTCACACACTCACACTTTCTGTGTCCTAGTTGAAACACATCGATTTCTCCCTGGGAAAGATTTGTCCACGTTGAATTCCTCTTGTTTATTTTATTAATTAGCTTGTATAAAGTACAGATTACAGGATCGGGTACACCACACCACCCCCCACATCTCCCTTCCGGAATTCTCAGAAGCAGTTTATCTTGTTTGTCCTTACGTTAGGCTCCTTGTGTGGACTCTGTGTGAGGTGAACGTCGGTGTGTGAATGGGTTTTAGATACACTGTGGTATCAGTATAATGTCTGCTTAAAACCTTAGTTTGGCGGTTACTTTTGTTAGTTGCAGAGACGGTATTCAGTATTGAGTGCATGTGGGACAGTGAAAGTGTCTGAGAAAGGGAGAAAGGGGGGGGGGCGTATCTATGTGATTGGGAGAGTGTGTGGGAAAGAGTACGTGCTTTTATAAACCCAAGTAATCCACACCCTCTACGTCAAAACCTACGTAAACCCACTTTTTGTTTCAACCCAGTTCACCCACTTCCTTGGTATTTTCCCATCTAACACGATGTCCCTGTGTTTCAAGCCAGTTAATCCACTTTCTCTTAATAAAAACCCAGTTAACCTTTATGTCTAAACCCAAGCAACCCTTTTGCTCTGTATCCCATCCCATTTAACCCACCCATTTATCTGTGCTACAAATTTACCACCCCCTCCCCCCCCCCCAACCTTTCTGTTTGACACCTAACCCACACCTTCTGGGTTTGAACCCAGCTCACTCACGTCTCAGGTCACGAGGTACGTATCTCACACACGCCAATGAACAACTACAGATATGAAACACATCGTTGCCTGTCAGTTTTCTATCACCAGGCATCCTGGACTGTCCAATTAAACACGCCAGGAAGGTTCCAGTAATAAATTTCAGCCCCGCTTTCAGCTTCCCGGGCCTGGTAATGCCAGCAACTCTTCATGCCTGGCTGCTTCTAATCTTCTTTCCAGAAAAGTAAACTGACGACTTGAGGCCGGTGTAAAGTCAATGGGACACAGTGCTAATGAAATTGACAAGTTTTTCGGCGCGAACAGCATTACACGGATGTGCCAGGTCAGCGCTGCCTGAAGCTTCTATAATCAGATCGGGACTTTGGCTGGAGGTTTTGCCGTTCGGCAGACCTCCAGTCGTTTTGTAGCTTCAGTGGGCAGAGAAAACTGGCAGTAATCGCCTCAGGTGAATGCCAGGTTTAAAAAAAAAAAAAAATATTAGCTAGGTAAGGAAGCCTGTTTCCCTGCCCGTGTGGCATCATGAAAGGATATCAAATGAAAAGTAGAACCAGTAAGCTTCACATTATCACGTACACATGCAATAAGTGGACGTTGCAGCTAAAGAACCTTCATTAGCACTTAAATAAATAGACATTACGATACATACGAACAAGACTTCACAAAATCACCTAACTGAAGAGTTACCGGGAAGAATCACAAATCTGTCTGACCAGCTGAATCTCTGAAACGTGTGTGATCACCAGAAAACTGATACGTGGCCTCTCTATCAGTTTCCCCATCTTTACCTACATTTCTGCCCAAATAGGTGTACGTAAGCCTCCGCGTCTTGGAGTGGGATACCATTAAGAGAAACAGCATTACTATTTTCCAGATTTATTCTCATTATCTTTGTCTTTTCTTTGTAGATTTTTAGTCTTAGCTGTTGTGGTCTCACATCAAGTATGCTCAATTCATCTTACACATGGTTCCGTGAATGGGACAGAGAAGAAATATCACCAGCGAAGTCCAGATCATCAAGCTGTTTTGTATGTGTTCACTGAATTCCATTCTTGGTGTTAGTAGTTATTGTCTTCATAATCCAGTCTACTGCCAGTAAAAATAGGAGAGGCGACAAAAGACATCCCTGTCGCACACGTATATTTATTTCAAATGTATCTGATCGCCAGTCGGAGTTTCAATCATAGGCCAGCTGGTTCTGGTCTCTGCTGTCTGTCATAACTATTTTCAGATTGCATTTACTCGTCCTAGCGTAAGGATGGTTTTTGTTTGTGGGGTGGGGGAGAGAGATCCCTGGTGATCGTCGTCGGAGCTATGGGGTTCTTGCTTTGTGTGGACGCTCTCAGTTGGCAGCTAGCTGTTATGCAAAAGGATTGGGGGGGGGGGGGTGTTAAGCCATTTGAGATTAAACCTAATGTAAAGTCCTTCCTCATTTCCTCAATAAGTATTTCCCATTTTAGTGCCTGTTTGGTGATTCTCTGCATGCTTCTTCTGAGGATGTGCTCACTACAACCCATCTTATTTAGTCTTGTCGCCGTTGATACCAGCAGTTGTCTCGATATTTATCTTATTTGTTTTCGCCTGATTAAATTAATCACATTTAACTTTAATCGGTTTCCTCAACCATTTGTTTTTGAAATGGGACAGAGGTCATTGATGAAAAACAAAATTCCTGTTGATGCGGATTGCAGATTTTTCTTCGCAAAGTACGCACAGTATGTTATTGTTTGCTTCCCGAGAGCGGTACCCATTCTGGGCCGGTTGTCCTAGCCATTCTGCCCATAGAGGCATGCTCTGCCCACGACCGGCTCCAGTTGACGGGCCGTGCTGCTGACCTTACCGGGTCGGGCTAACTATGCATTACCGCAGCGTTTCTCAAACTGGGTACCGGGGCGCCCTGGGGTGCCGTGAGCGTATGCCAGGGGTGCCACTGCAATAATCAAGAAAAGTGGGCTAAACATTGTGAAATTATTAAAAGAAGGCATGTAGATACTTAACAGTTAAAATGTAAGTTCTCTTTCCTCGCCACTGTCAAAAATAGTTTATTTCTTGTTTGAGAACCGCTGTGTTAATGCGTCGTTAGCCCGACCCTGTGACGTCAGCAGCACGGCCCGTCAGCTGGAGTCGGTCGTGCTCTGCCTAGCACAGTTAACTTGGCGACTTACACTGAAAACGTTCAGCTGCTCACTACTACAATGTGTCGCTTGCCTGCCATGACATTACGTAGGTGAGACTGAAAGATTGCCTGTGTCAGAAATAATTAAAAGTACCCGAGACAGAAGGCTGTGGATAGACATGACCACCAACACCACACGGCATGGGTTTAAGGAAAAGTACATTTTAGTTCAAAACCTTGGGACCAGCAAACAGCCTGTCTAGCCACCGCACTGCCGCGTCTGCCTTGATTATTTATAAATAACAATAATATCTTGTTTAAACATTGTCCGCATGTAATACTCATGATCTTTCACTTCTGGAGATTCGGCTAATGTGTTGTGCTGTTGTGTGTTTGCCGAGAGATCGCCACTAATCCTAGGCATGGGATTTATTCTGTTTGTTCCCCCAAGCTGATTTGTTTAAAGTCACTCTCAGATGTCCGTGTTTGCATGGAAAGATGGCTGGGGGTTTCAAATAAGTTTCCACTTCTTGGTCTTGTCTTGACAAAATGTATGTACGTCTCCACAAGGAAAGTTGGCTACAGTGTACCAACTGCTGTCTTTCACAGTATTGCTTTATAAGGGCCTAATCTCCTCCAGATTGCAGACATGTATATGGGGCTATCATTGAGGAGAGATAGTAGAGTACGAGGGGAAGTTAATGAGTAAGTCAGAGGTGGTTAAGAGATGGCAGGAAAATGTAGTTGGTGGTTTTTAAATGTGTTATTACGTGACAGCAACATCGAACTTTATGTCTGCGTTTATTAGATGACGCGGATTCCAGTAAACTTACGTTGGCATCCATGTTTTCGTTTCTTTCACATCTTCATTATGGTTTGTATCTGTCCATGGTGTTTTCATCATTCGTTTGTAAAACGTCATCTCTGCGGCTTCCACATCATCTGCTAACTATGCACGATTCCTCTTTCACGGTCGCCCTTATAAGGACGGTTGGTACATAGTGTTATGCTATACATCTAGGATGCGATT